CGAATCGGTTTGGAAAGACTTCGGGGAACGCGTGGGGGAGCAAGAAGAGAAGGAGGGGGAGGATGAGGAAAAACGAGGAGGAGGAGGAGGAGGAGGAGGAGTTGGAGGAGGCCTCTTGGGCGCCTCTTGGGGCACTCTTGGGGCCTCCTGGGAGCTTCCTGGGGGCCTGTTGGAGGGTTTCGGGGGGCCTTTAGGGGCTTCTTGGGGGCCCCTTTGCGCCGTCTTGAGCCGTCGGAATGCCGAGATGAAGCACATGCACACATCCTTCAACAACCCAAGGAAAATCGATGATTTTGGCCTCTTCGGGCCCTCCTGGAAGATCTCCTGGAAGCCTTTTGGGCCGTCTTGGAGGCCTCCTGGGGGCCCCTTGGGCTGTCTTGGGCCATCTTGAGGCCATCTTAGGCCGTCTTGGGTGCATCTTGGGCCGTCTTGGAGGCATCTTGGGGCCATCTTAGCCGTCTTGGAGGCCATTTTGGTCGTCTTGGACGCCTCTTGGGCCCTCTTGGGCCCTCTTGGGGCCGTCTTGGGGGCCTCTTGGGCCGTCATGGGGCCATATTGGAGGCCTCGTAGGCGATCTTAGGGGCTTCTTGGGCCATCTTGAGCCGTCGGAATGCCGAAAAGAAGCACATGCAAACATGATTCAAAAACCTAAGGAATTATTATGAGTTTGGCCTCCTTGAGGACCTCTTGGAGGCCTCTTGGGCCGTCTTGGAGTCCTCTTGGGCGCCTCTTGGGCCGTCTTGAGGCCATCTTGAGGCCATCTTAGGCCGTCTTGGGTGCATCTTAGGCCGTCTTGGAGGCATCTTGGGGCCAGAGGAGGAGGAGGAGGAGGAGGAGGAGGAGGAGGAGGAGGAGGAGGAGGAGGAGGAGGAGGAGGAGGAGGAGAGGCCATCTCGGGCGTCGTGAACCAAACATGGCGCTTCCAGAGTGCGGGAGCGACCACTGGCGACCAATGGCGGCCCAGGCGGCCAGAACTAGCCCCTGATTATCCAAGAGGCCTCCAAGACGCCCCTAGAAACCTCCAAGACGCCCCCAAAGGAGTCCCGAGAGGCACAACTCGTTATTTATCCAAAGGTTTTTGTTGGGAAGGATTTCCAAAGTCTCGCCTTTACAGTGTTCTGACGCTCCACGACGACCCAAGATGTCATATTGTCCGTTCCAAGACAGCCCCAGAGGTTTCGAAGTCGGCCCCAAGACGGCCCAAGGGGGCCCCAAGACGGCGCCAGAGGCGCACAGGACGGCCTGAAAGGGCCCTATGGAGCTCCTCCGAAGGTCCCAGTGGCGCAGCCCGCATGCGTCCGCCACACCCGGTACATCGCTTTGTGGCCCCATGGGGAGCTCCACCGAAGGCCCCAGTGGCGCAGCCCGCATGCGTCTCCCACACCCAGTACACCAATCGTGGCCCCATAGGGAGCTCCACCGAAGGTTCCAGTGGCGCAGCCCGCATGAGTCCCTCCCACCCAATAAAGCGTTTCGTGGCCCCATAGGGAGCTCCCCCGAAGGTCTCAATTGCGCAGCCCGCGTGCGTCTCACCCACCGAGTACAGCGCTTCGTGGCCCTATAGGGAGCTCCGACGAAGGTCTCTGTGGCGCAGCCCGCATGCGTCTCCCCCGCCAGTACAGCGATTCGTGGCCCCATAGGAAGCTCCACCGAAGATCCCAGTGGCGCAGTCCGCATGCGTTTCCCCCACCCAGTACATGTTTTAATGGCCCTACACGGAGGCTCCACCGAAGGTTCTAGTGGCGCAGTCCGCATGCGTCTCCCCCACAGTACAGCGTTTCGTGGCCCTACAAGGGGGCTCCACCGAAGACGATTCTTACAACTGCGGTATTCATAACTGCATATGGTTGGGTCCTTCCCCAGGCTAATTCACACGTGCCCCTGCTTGTGTTTGCACATCAGGCCATCATTAAGGCCCCCGTCACCACCGAAGAAAGATCCCAGGAAGCCTTCGAGGGCCCCAAATCATCGAGCACCTAAAAGAAGTTGATGATGCTGTGGTTTCCGCATTTCCCCTTCTATACGCTTCTGAGGCTGGCGCAGGGACTCCAAGAAGGTCGTTAGATGCACAAGGCGCTTCAACAATTGAGATTCCATGCGTTAGCCTGTCGAGCCTAGCTAGAACTTGAGCGCGCGCGAAGCGCGCGCGATGGTTCTAGTACGTATGTATGTATGTATGCATGCATGCATGTATGTATGTATGTATGTATGTATGTATATATATATATATATATATATATATATATATATATATACATATATGGGAGATCCCGGGCCCCGGGCCCCGGGCCGGAACCCCCCTTGTATATAGGGTGCGGCCCTCTCCCGGGGCGCCCTTCCGGCGGCCCCCGCGCGTTCCAGCCCGCCCAAGAGGGCTCCAGGAGCGCCGAGAGAACCCCAGGATCGCTTCAAGACCGCCAAAGATCGCTTCCAGAAGGGTCAAGAGGCGCTCAAACCGCCCCAAGAGGCCTTCAAGAGGCCCCCCACGAGCGCCCCGGGAGACCAAAATGGCCCCATTCCCTTCGTAAAACGTACATTTTTACGATATCAGCTCCCTTAGCTGTCGGAGCGGCCAGAAAGCCCCACGAGGCGCCCAAGGACGCTCCAGGACGACTGAGGACAGCCCCAAGACGGCCCAGGAGGGCCTCCCGGGACGCTCCTCCGGCGGCCCCCGGGCTGCCCAGTCCGCCCAAGAAGGCTCCAAGAGCGCCGAGAGAACCCCAGGATCGCTTCAAGACCGCAAAAGATCGCTTCCAGAAGGGCCAAGAGGCCATCAAACCGCCCCAAGAGGCCTCCAAGAGGCCCCCCAAGAGCGCCCCGGGAGACCAAAATGGCCCCATTCCTTCGTAAAACGTACATTTTTAAGATATCAGCTCCCTTGGCTGTCGGAGCGGTCAGAAAGCCCCACGAGGCGCCCTAGGATAGCCCGAAGACAGCCCAGGAAGGCCTCCCGGGACGCTCCTCGGGCGGCCCCCGGGCCTCCCAGTCCGCCAAAGAAGGCTCCAAGAGCGCCGAGAGAAGCCCAGGATCGCTTCAAGACCGCCAAAGATCGCTTCCAGAAGGGACAAGAGGCCATCAAACCGCCCCAAGAGGCCTCCAAGAGGCCCCCCAAGAGCGCCCCGGGAAACCAAAATGGCCCCATTCCCTTCGTAAAACGTACATTTTTAGGATATCTCATCCCTTGGCTGTCCGAGTTGTCAGACAGCCCCAGGAGGCGCCCAAGGACGCCCCAGGACGCCTGAGGACAGCGCTAAGAGGGCCTAGGAGGGCTTCCTGGGACGCTCCTCGGGCGGCCCCCGGGCCTCCCAGTCCGCCCAAGATGGCCCAAGAGACTTCCCGGTCGCCCCGAGAGGGCCCCCGGAGCGCTCCGATACGGCCCAACATGGCCTCCAGAAGGGCCACGAGGCCGTCAAGACGCCCCCAGAAGGCTCCAAGAGGCCTTCCAAAAGGGCCCCGGGAGCCAAAACTTACTCCACGCCCAAGAGGGCCCCAGGACGGCCCCAAAAGGGCCTTAAAAGGACCTTCGACAAGGCCCGGATGGCCACAGTTCGTTGATTTGCGTGAGATGTTGTTGGATTTCTTCCGCGCGGAGGAGACGGAGAGGGCGAAGGAGGAGGAGGAGGAGGAGGAGGAGGAGGAGAGGAGAAGGAGGAGGAGGCAGGGAGGAGGAGTGGAGGGGAGGAGGGGGGGAGAGAGGAGGAGGCTCGAGGGCGATCGACGATCGGCGACGACGACCGGCGACGGTGATTGACGACGACGACGACGACGACGACGACGACGATGACGACGACGACGACGATCGACGACGGTCGACGACCGACGACAACGACGATCGACGACGATGACAATAGTCGACGGCGCCGATCGACGATCGACGGCGACGACGATGGCCACGCCGACGGCGGCGACGCTGCCCGCGTGACAGCCCAAGAGGCACACAAGACAGCCTCATCGAGGCCCCAGAGGGCCCCAAGACGTCCAAGAGCGCCTCAAGAGGGCCCGAGATGGCTTGAAGATGGCCGAAGAGGGCCCCAAGAGGGCCTTCAAGAGGCAAAACTTTACCCATTCCTCGTGTAAAACGTACAATTTCAGCATACTCGCTTGCTTCGTCCTCAGAGTGGCCCCCGAGGAGCCCCAAGACAGCCCAAGACGGCCCCAAAGGCCCCAAAGCCGGCCCAGGAGGCCCCCAAAACGGCCTCAAGGAGGCCCAAGAGGGCCTCGTTCGAAATCATGTTCCCAGAATTTTCTCCGGGAGCATGATTTCCGGGCTCCCAGGACGCCCAAGAGGGCCCGAGGACGGCCCCAAAATGGCTTAAAATGACATTCAAAAATTCCCAGAGGGCCACAGTTCGCTGATTTTCGCGAAATGTTGTTGGATTTCTTCCACGCGGAGGAGACGGAGAGGGCGAAGGACGAGGAGGAGGAGGAGGAGGAGGAGGGGGAGGAGGAGGGGGGGGAGGACGAGGAGGAATACGAGAAGGACGAGGCGGGGAGGAGGAGTGCAGGGGGGAGAGAGGAGGAGGAGGCTCGAGGGCGATCGACGATCGGAGACGACGACCAGCGACGGTGATTCACGACGACGACGACGACGACGACTACGACGACGACCGATGACGATCGACGACGATGACAATAGTCGACGCCGCTGATCGATGATCGACGGCGACGACGACGGCCACGCCGACGGCGGCGACGCTGTCCGACAGCCTCAGCGAGGCCCAAGAGGGCCTCAAAACGTCCAAGAGCGCCTCAAGAGGGCCCGAGATGGTTTGAAGTTGGCCGAAGAGGGCCTTCAAGAGGCAGAAATCGGCCCGCTCCTGTTGTACAACGTACGTTTTCAGCATACTTGCTTGCTTGGTCCTCGCAGTGCCCCAGACGCCCCCGAGCCCCACAAGACAGCCCAAGAGAGACCCAAGAGGGCCCAAGACGGCCCAAAAGGGTCGTCCTGTGAGGCTGACGGAACCCCCAAGACGGCCCAAGAGGCCCCAAAGTTGGCCCAG